AGGTTCAAGCTCCTGTTGTTGGGTCTGTCTTGGTTCAGCCATGCGCTTGCGTAGATTTTGGCAAGACCTTTTGGATCATTAATAACCGACCTGTCATAGAATGGCATTAGGTTGGCGATTGGAACAGATGATTTGTCCATGCAAATTTGAGCCCATGATTTGATAAATGAAGTTGAGATTCTCCCATCTATAACTGCATGGTGATTGGTTATTCCAATGGAAAACCCTTTGTTTTGAAATTTGGTGACCTGTATTAAGAATTTCAATGATTATTAAATATACATTTTTATCTTCAATGGAGTAATTTTTAATTTAGTCCTTATCGAAAACGCTAAAATTTTCAACTAATTTCTTAAAATAGAAACAAAGAAGAAATTTTAAACTTCCATAAAGTTTCTGACTTTAAGCATATCAAGTATGGTTAATTAATCATTAGTGAAGGACTAAAGTGATTAATAAAAAAGATATATTAAGGTAAGAGCCCTCCAGATTTAAAAACGTGTTTCTTATGGAGAGGTTTCCACATCCTTATAAAGAACGCTTAGTTCTCCTCTCCAACCGATGTGAAATTTCTTAATACTCCTTATAAAAAATGCTTAGTTCTCCTCCCCAACCGATGTGGGATTTCTTAATACTCCTTATAAAAAATGTTTAGTTCTCCTCCCCAACAGATGTGGGATTTCATAATTCACTCCCCTTCGGGGCCCCTAGTATCCTCGTTGGCACTCGTTCTCTTCTCCAATCTATGTGGGACCTCTCAATTCACACCCTTTTGTGACGGCCCAAGCCAACAACTTATAGATATTATTCTCTTTAGGCTTTCCCTCTCAAGGTTCCCCTTAACGTTTTTAAAACGTGTCTGCTAGTAAGGGTTTCTACACTCTTATAAAGAATCTTTGTTCCTCTCTCCAACCGACGTGGGATTTCACAATTCACCCCCTTCGGGGCCAGTGTCCTCTTTGGCACTCATTCCCTTCTCCAATCAATGTGAGACCCCCCAATCCACCCTCTTTGTAATGGATCAAGCTCACTACTAACAAATATTGTTCTCTTTGGGCTTTCTCTTATGTGTTTCCCCTCAAGGTTTTAAAACGCGTCAGCTAGGGAGAAGTTTCCACACAATGTTTCGTTCCCTCTCGAATCGATGTGGGATTGTTGAGGATTGTTGGGAGGGAGTCCCACCTTAGCTAATTTAGGGAATGATCATGGAGTTTATAAGTAAGAAATACATTTCTATTGGAATGAGATCTTCTAAGGGAACTAAGAGTAAAATCATGAGAGCTTATATTTAAATTAGACAATATCATGTTGTGATTCCTAACTTTAATAACCAATCATGGTTAGCTATTAAGTTTTGGAGATAAGAACCTGGATAGCAATTGTTGCAGCACGATCATGAGAAACAGGCAATTGGGGGACAAGAGGATGAAATTCAGAAACTTCATGGAACCCATTGCCGGAAAGTTGGTAAAAGTCAGCTCTGGACTCAGCTATGGTCAGAGAAACACCGTCCCCGTCAACCAACTCGATGGTCGGAAAGTCGGAGTGTGGAAGCCAAACGAGGTTGCCAGCCAGAGGAAGATAATGGCGAAGAATAAGAGAAAGAGAGGTTTTGAGCTTCGGAACAATTTCGTCCATAAAAGATATATCATTAGATGGTAGCTCGTAGAAGAAAAGGCGTTGGATTGGATGGAACCTCAGCCAAAACAGGTCGAAGTAGGTGAGAGGAAGAGACGACGGCACATCCGCCGCACGTGACGGCTCCGGCGGCGGAGGAGCCATTTTACAGATCTCAATTATCTTAACAGATGGAAGGTGATCCATTGGAAAGTAGGTTTTTGGAGATATGATATTAGTGATGAGGAAAATTAAAAAGTTGGGTTCTTTACTTATAATTCATGATGAATTGGGTTAGTCTTTGTTCTTCATGGTTCTTATTCCTTCCTTGAATTTTGAGGAGGAAGACGACATATTTTGCCCATTTGTAAGAGAGACAAAATTGGCTTGTAAATTAAGAACTCTCCTTCTATTGACCCTCAAACGAAGTATGAATGACTGGAAAGTCATAGTATTTTGAACTTTTTCAATTTTTTTAAAGAAAAATCGAATAAAATAAAAAAAAATTACTATAAATGGATAAAAACTCCCAAAAAAAAAAAATCAATTGGGACAACCTACTTCGTAATTATTACAAATTACATTTTATTCAATACAGTGAGTATTTATTCTATACCGTGAACAATTATTACAAATGATTTTATTTACGTGTGACTGGGGCTATACAGTGAGTTTGTATGAGAGTGATCCACGAAATAAATATTTAATATCTCTTGATAAATTATTTATTGGAAATGTTATATTTTACCGGATGATTATATGTCTCAATCTTAATTCTTAGTGAGTTATGAAGCACTCTTGCTTGTGAGGGCGTGTCTCGAGAGTTGCATGGATAGAAATGACTTTTGTAGTCGGATTAATATGTCTACTATTTTCGAGACTTTGACAAAATAGAGAGTTAGAGAATGTAATTTTATAAGATGGAATTTAATCTTTCCCATATATGGAAAGTAGATGAGTAAAATTGATGATGTTTATGGAAGGATAACTACTGCTTTTATATAGAGCTTTACAAACCAAAATAACAAACCAATCATCAAAACCAACCGAAACAAAAAAACAAATCAACTCCTACAGCTATTTAGAAAAAACAAATATAAAACTACTTCTTATTAACAGACAAATATGAAATCCTTAATAGATAAATACAAAACTACTTCCTATTCATTAGCTATAACGTTGCAGATCAAGTCAGAAACTTCAATAAATTCCTTCCCGTAAATTGAAGTATGCTGAAACAGCATCAGTTTACTCAAGTTGTCGAACTCTGAGCATGCCTCTGAATTTCACAAATTTATCTACCTTAATTGGTTTAGTCATTATGTCTGCCACTTGATCTTCCGTTCCGCAAAACACTAACCTCACAATCCCATTAGTTGACAAATTACGCAGGAAATGATACTTGTCATCAATATGTTTTGTCCTTTGATGCATAACTGGGTTCTTAGACAATTTGATTGCTAAACTACTGTCACACATGTTATCGATGCACTCGCTACTTAGAACACCTACCTCCTTCAGAATTCCCTTAAGCCAAACACCATGACATGCACTTGCAGTGGCAGCTACATATTCAGCTTCTGTAGATGATAGTGTGACAATTCCTTGCTTCCTTAAACTCCAACATATTGGAGCTCCATTTAGAAAGAAAACATAGCCTGAAGTGTTCTTCCTGTCATCAATGTCTCGTGCATAATCATTGTTTGTGTATCCCAAAAGATTTGCATCCTTACTCCATTTGTAATAAACTTCAACATCTAATGTGCTTTTTAAATATCTCAGTACCTTTTTAGCAATCAACATATGTTCTTTTTTGGGATCAGCCATATAACGAGAAATCAAGTAAACCACAAACATTAAGACGAGACGAGTTACCGTAAGGTACATTAATCATCCTACTAGTTGTTTGTACAATGTTGCATCGACACCAATTTTCTTTGCTTCATGCGGTAATGTCACAAGCTCCCATGTCTGATTTCTTTCAATAGCTTGAATTTCAAGCTTCATAGCCTCCTACCACTTCTTTTCCTTTACTTCTTCTTCAAAGTTCACAGGATCATCATTGGAGATGTGAAAAGCAAACCCCTCTTCGACTTCTTCTTCTTCAAATAGGTGTTCACCTGTTTCATAATCGCGCATCCAAACTAGCTTTCTCCTTTGTCTTGTTTGTTGTGGCAACTTGGTGAAGGTTCATCCATTTCTTGGATTTCTTCTAACCTATCATTTGCTTCTTCTTTTTTTGAATCTCCTTCTCCATCAGTCTCTCTTCCTTCCGATTCTTCTGCAGTAATTTTATCATCATCTCCCCAAGCCAACACGTCCTGCTCCTCATTTTTTGTACTTGAATTCCAGTCTCATTTTGCACCTTCTTCAATTATGACATCCCTGCTCACAATTATCTTGTTTGTTGCTGAATCACACAGGCGATAGGCATTAGATTCATCAGTAACTCCAAGTAGGATGCATTTGAGACTTCGATCATCAAGTTTGATTCTCTTCTATTCGGAAATATGGACATGTGCAATTGAACCAAATACTCTGAAGTATTCCACATTTGGTTTTATGCCTGACCACTTCTCCTCAGGAACCATGTCCTTGATTGCCTTTGTGTAACTACGATTCAAAACATGATTGTCCATCTAGCTGCTTCCAGTCACAACTTCTTCAGCATCTCTTTCTTAGATAAAAGACACCGAATCATGTTCATGATGGTTCGATTCCTTCTTTCTACAACTCCATTTTGTTGGGGAGTGTAAGCAGTTGTTAGTTGTCGCTTGATCCCGTTGCAAAAACAAATGGTGGTCTGGTTCCTTCTTTCTACAACTCCAAGTCTTCATCTTCTATTTTCAAACATTTGTCAACCAATGGCTTCATCTTTGCATGAACTGAGAACATGCGATTTGCCATCATTTGTATGTTCATTGTCAGGCCCCTTTGTTGATGATAGACTCTACAGGTTCCTTCTTTGATTAAGATCACCAAGCGCTTATCCTGTAGCTACACTATGCTTAGCAAATTGTTGGTGAGATTGGGGACATAGTAGACATCTGTCACAGTTTGTGTGATACCTTCAACTTCGAATCTGACACTATCTCTTCCTTCAACTGCCAATTTTGAGCTATTTCCCAACCTGACAGTGTGTTTGAAACTTTCGTCAAGCTCAACGAACCATGTTTTGTCTTCTGTCATATGATTTGAGCACCCGAAATCGAGAAACTAAATGCTTTCTCTTTCAACTTTACTTTTCTTTATGTACGCCATCAAAAGCAGTTCTTCCTCCTCGTCAAATTCAGCATAATTGATAACTTCTTTTTCTAAGCCCGGACATTCAAATTGATAACGTCCTTGCTTTTCACATCGAAAACAGTTGATGGCCGACCGATTCACAAAAGATCTACCTCTTTCCAGTCCTCTAGAGTAACCTCTTCCTCTCTAAAATGTCCCTTTGCCTCTTCCTTGTCCATACCTTGGTATAGAACCTGCTCTTCACTCCTCTTATCAATCACCTTTTGTTCATGTACAAGCAAAAATACCTGTAATTCATCGACTGTTAATTGGTCAATGTCCTTGAATTCTTCAATTGAGCATACTACGAAGTTGAATTTATCGGTGAGACTTCGAAGTATTTTCTCAACAATTTTGACATCCGACATATCTTCTCCGCAATTTCTCATATCATTAGCAGTAGACATAACTCTTGTAAAATACTCAAAAACACCTTCTCCTACTTTCATCTCTAAGTTTCGAATGTTCTGTGAAGTCGAAGTCATTGTAGCTGGGCTTGCTCCACTCTAGCATTTCCTTGATACTTGAGTTTTATTGAATCCCACATTTACTTGCTTGTAAGTATCTTTTTGAATGATAGTTTTCAAGTATCCTTTTGAATGATAGTTTTCAGAATACTCTTATCAATGGATTGGAAGGGATAATTCTTAACCTTGAGATCTTTGAGCCTTGCTTCATCGATTCTTTTTGCTGGGCTGCGCTTAGTGCTTAGTTTTTTTTTGGTTTCGTTCATTTTCTTTTGGTTCCTCGAAACCAGATTGAATAACACTCCAATATTTCTCGGAATGCAAAAGATTTTCCATGACCAAACTCCAATGCTCGTAGTCTCCATCGAATTGAGGAACATATGAAGATTTTCCATGACCAAACTCTAATGCTCGTAGTCTCCATCGAATTTAGGAACATATGGTAGAGCAAAGCTTCTTGAATCACTTGTTTTTTCTCTCAAACACCCAATTTGTGTATTTCTCATTTCTCCCTTTCAGATCCAATTAAGCTCTGATACCAAATGGAAGGAATTGATTGATGTTTATTGAAAGATAACTACCACTTTTATACAGCCTTGCAAAACAGAAAAACAACCAACTAATCAAAAAAACAAATCAAACTACTAGCTATTTGAAAAACAAACCAACCGAATAAAAAAAAACAAATAAACTCTAGCTATTTATAAAAACAAATCAACTCCTTAGATATTTTAAAAAACAAATATAAAAATACTTACTATTAATAAATCTTTTATATTGAGTGCATTTAATTAAAATATATATTTAAAATTTAAAACTTATGATATTTAAATATGATTTATATATGATTTATCAGGTATAATAAGTATGAATGATATGTCGTTGTGCAAGTATGTATATCTAATTAGAAATTCATGTCATGATAAGTATGATGTGCGTTATGACCATCACGATTTGAAATACAAGACTTCGTGCATATTGTATGTCATGAGCACATGATACTGTTCTTGTAACGACCCTAGATTTCTACTTACCTAGAGTCGTTAGCGTCATCATAATGTAATCACTTTGTTTAGAAATAATCATTTGAAATTTTATTATAAAACATAAACTTCATCTTAAAACATTGTCATGGACTTACATGTCTCGAAAATATCTTTAAAATGACACAACGAAGTAATAAATGAAATAAATAAATATTAAAATTAAAAACATCCTATCCTAATCTAGGTCTAAGGAAATAAGTGCAACTACCATATACATGTGTCACAGTCTTCTAGATTGCGATGTCAATGTCAGTTGTACTAACCTTAAATGCTTGTGAAGAATTGAAACTATAAGAAAAAGTCTGAGCATATCAGACCCTAGTCGAATTAGCCAAAGCGTAGCCCTTGAGTCGTCAAAAATGTATTCTCCAACTAATTTCAAACCGTTCAAGTAGGATGCTAAAATGAAGGGAGGGATCTCCGTTTTTGGAGGTCAACCCCTCATTTCTTTAAGCAACTAGGACATTTTCCTTCTCCCTTTCTTTTTTCCAAAATTTTAGGTTATTTCTGTCCATAGTCAGAGGGTATGTAATAAGAACTTGCCTAGTTGGTTCATCGGAGAGTGCATGAATCATGTGTATAGAATTATTATGCATCCTACCCAATCCAAAAAATAAAGTAGAGTCGAAGTAATAGTCACAAAAAGTAGGTTATACCCTGAATCATGATTCCTGTAATTGCATTTTCGAACTCCAATAGTAGGTCACTTATTGAGTAGTTTTAACTACTCACACTTTTTCACGTAAAAGCAAGTTCATGACAATGTTTAAGATAAATAATATTTAATAATTTTTCGTACACACTAATCATGATATGCATGCACCAACGATCTTATTCTAAAAGAAAAACTAAGATCCATTTCAACCTATCTCAATTGATAACGCATTTGGATCAACTCCTATGATTTCAAAGAGCTTCAAAACCTTCATTAAAGAGAGCAGCAAAAGCTTCCATTTGATCTCTCTCTTTAACCTCTCCAATCTCCATTCCCACATCGCTATTTCTGCTATCACTCAAAGAAAACACTAATGGTGATTCAGCTGACACTATTTCCACCTTCATTGGCTTTCCCCACCCAAAATCTGCACTATAAACTCCAAATCTAGGTGACCCAGCAAGGGTAATAGCCATTTCTTTAGAATAATCATTGGTCACTTGACTCACAAGTGTCCCATAATTTTCTAACCCCTCTAAACCTCCTCCTCCTCCTAAATTTTTAATAGCTTTCGAGATCTGTTCACAAGCCAAAGCTATTCCCTTTTCACCCAAAAGCTTAATTCTTTCAATAAAAACAACACAACTAATCCAACAATTTCCAAAGTAATTCAAACCCACTTGTGGCTTTAAACGAGATCGACCATCAGCAGAAAATGCGAACAATAATTTTCCATCTCTTAAACCTTCCAACTTGGCTGTACATACACAAAGATAAGCCGTTGCCACTACAAATGAAGACATTTTCTCATCATTCTTCTTCAAAACCCATTTCTTTAGCTTTTCCAAGTTTTGGTGTGTGAACTCAAAAGTTCTTCGGATTAAATTAGGTTTTTCCATGCAAATTTGAGCTCATGATTTGATAAATGAAGTTGAGGTTTTTCCATCTAGAATTGCATGATGACAGGTTATTCCAATCGAATATCCTTTATTTGGAAATGTGGTGACCTGTTAAGAATATAAATGATTGATTAAATGTATCGGGTCGATTTTTTCTCATTTTAAGTTTTCGTGAATGTATTAAGTATATTATGCATGACAAAGATTTTACTATGGGGAGAAAGAGATGTGTTTGATAATAAATTTTACATAAATGACCTTTGTATACATGTTTTGGAACATCCTCCATGGACATGCACTTACTATATTCATGGCTATATATGAATAATCCAATATATGTATCTACCAAATGAATCTAACTCTTAAGTCTAACCTTGGCTAATTTAAGGAATGATTCTGGGTTTATAAGTAAGAAATTTATTGGTGCGAGCCATTTTGGAGAAGTACAAAACAAAGCCTTGAGAGCAGGACAATAGCATACCATTGTGATGTCAATAGAATCCTCAAATGTCGAACAAAGGGTGTACTTTGTTCAAGGACTCTAGAGACAGAGTCGAGACTCAATTAAGGGGAGGCTCTATAGTGTAGTTTGTTTGAGGGGAGGATTGTTGAGGATTGTTGAGAGGGAGTCTCACATGAGTAATTTAAAGAATGATAATAGGTTTATAAGTAAATAATACATCTTTATTGATATGAGAGGTTTTATGATTCCTAACATCTCTCATGTATCCAAGAATGCAAGTAACAAGATTCCTAACGTCTCTAATATGTTTCTCAACCTCCAAGATTCGTGTATATTTAAATCGAACATTGTTAGCCACGAACCTGGATAGCAATTGGTGCAGCAGGATCATGAGAATCTGGCAAGAGGGGGACAAGAGGATGAAACTCAGAAGCTTCACGCAACCCATTGCCGGAAAGTTGGTAAAAGTCAGCGTCGGACTCGGCTACCGTCAGAGAAACGCCATCTCCATCGACAAACTCGATGGTCGGAAACTCAGACTGTGGAAGCCAGACGAGGTTGCCAGCCAGAGGAAGATAATGGCGAAGAGTGAGAGAGAGAGAGGTTTTGAGGTTCGGAACAATTTCGTCAACAAAAGATATATCACTAGATGGTAACTCGTAGAAGAAAAGGCGTTGGACTGGATAAAACCTCAACCATAACAGGTCGAAGTAGGTTAGAGGAAGAGATGACGGCACAGCCGCCGCACGTGACGCCTCCGGCGGAGGAGCACTTTACAGATCTCAATTATCTTCACACTTGTTGTTCCTTCCATGAGCTTTGAAATGAAGGAAGATGACATGAGTTGGTAATATGATCGTTCCATTTATATTTGGTAAGTTCTCTCATATCCATTGAAAACAATTAAAATATATATTCTTGTTTTTGTCCCATGTCTAGGACAAGAGCATGCTGCATGCTGCTTATTTATCTAGTAAAACTATATACTATACTGAGTTATACACTTAAACAATTATGTATAATAAATAAAGTTATATATAGTAAAGATATGTATGGTAGGCAATTGTAGATATTCAATTCTATCTCATACGTTACGGAGAGTTATAGCTTGAGGCCATCGCCGCATGCACCTTCCTTGCAGGTGCTGATCACAAAATACCATGTGGCCGATTGGTGACACATGGTTCATTGAAAGCAATGAAACTGATTTCTTCAATTGCTGCGTAGACTTTTTTATCACTCGAGGCCATCCCGACATGCACCTTCCTTGCACGCATTGATCACAAAATACAATCGGGCTGATTGGCGACACATGGTTCACTGGAAGCAATCAATGGAGAGCTGATTTCTTCAATTGTTGCATCGAATTTTAAGGCACAATTAAAACATGGGCTATGAGTTTATAAACTTGACTTAGTGGAATAAGTTACTAACTTATAGAGTAACTATAGAAGAATTGATAGTAGTTATCAAATTGTGGATCAAATTTTGTAGTTATAGACTAAGTTTTATGGTTTAACTAGAAAGTTTAGGAAGCTAGTGAGGGGTTTCTCTCCTATAAATGCTTTTTCACAACAATAACAACAACAAAAAGAATTGATACACTAAGTGTTTATGCTTTCTTTGCTCCAAAAGATCTCTCCCCTCAAGGTGTTCCTTTGCCACTTTTACTTGCTTCGACATAATTCCAATCGAGGGTCACATCCAACATTTGGTATCAGAGCTCCCAGGAGGTCAAAACAAATACCGTCACCATACAAAATTACTGGAGGAGTGACAATGATAAAGGGCAGAAAGGAGGGAAGCATAAGAACAGGATGTTTCTTGTTGACATCTACCAAACAATCTTGGAGGACGTTCTTCTCATATTAGCAGAGAAGGACTCGGTAAAGGTAGCATGGGTGACGCTGCAAACAATGCATGTGGGTGTGAAACGTGTTAAGGAAGAAAAGGTGGAGACCTTAAAGAGTGAGTTCGAGGCGAGTTCGAGGCTATTCACATGATGGACGGTGAGTCAATAGACGAATTTTCCATGAAGTTGACGACGGTCGTTAGCGACATCCGTTCATTAGGTAATATGGTGGAGGAGATCTTCATTGTTAAGAAGTTCCTTCGAGTTGTTCCCCTGAGATTCATGCAAATTGTTACCTTCATCAAGTATAGTTCAGTGACTCAATAACATGTCAATTGAGGAGGTTATTGTTTGTCTTAAGGTCCATGAGGAGAGACTTTGTAGTTATAAAGACAAAGAGGAGAGAAACACTTCTTACACACACATGAAGAGTGGCTCGCATGGACGAAAAAGAATGATATGGTTGACTCTTTTTTTACAAGTATGAGGGGACTTGGCAACCATAACGTGGTTGTAGACGTCGTTGTGGACATGGCCGTGGACGTGATGGCAGAGGAGGCCGTGACAATATGCCTCATGTGGTTGTTATGATGTGGTATGATAATATGTTATGTTATGATGATGTGATACGTTATGATGATATGATAGGTTATGATGTTGTGGTATGTTATCTTAATGTGATATGTTATGATGACATGAGATGTATGATGATATTTGTTATGATGATATGTATGTATGAGATGTCATGTTGCACTATGACATGAATATGTTTGGCAATGAAATATATGATATGCTGCAACATGTATGACAATGAAGAGTTTTCTAACGCAAAACCCCTAAGTAATGATATATGTAATGTATGAAAGCTTATGAATGTATGTTACCAAGGGTTGACAGCGACGATCACATCAAAAACCATAGAACCTTCCTAGAGTAATTGCATTTATTTTGTAGGTCTTAGGTTAGAATGAGGCCGTGTTCTTTTTAATATTTTACTTTCATTTATTTTAATTTGTTTTGAATATTTCTCTTGTTTTATTTTAAAACTTTTATGCAACGTATAATTCATTCCATTGTTTTATGAAACTCTTTTAAATGAATGATTTCACATAAAAAAGTTATGTCATGCATATAGTAGCGACTCTATTTCAGTAGAAAATTAAGGTCATTACATGATAAAAGGATAGTCTCATCATATTACATATATTTGCATTACATTTCCCAACCCCAATAGTGGGGTTAATTACTAAGTGTTTCTTCAAATACTCAAGTCATGTGCTACTCTTATATTTCAGGTAAAGGTAAGGCACCTCTGAACGAATGACGATGGTGTTGTGATGAAGGCCATGGAATCATTGTTAGGTTAACTAAATTATATTATGTATGACGGTGTGTGCCCCATGGTCCCTGCACGTCTCATATGATAATTGGTATGCTATGCTATACTATGCAAAGTTATGTTATGATATGTTATGCTAAGTGATATTATGTCATGATATGCTATGGTATGTCATGTCACGTTATAAAACTATGTTATTTTGTGACATAACATGTTGTATAAAACTTTTATGAAATTATTAATCTATGATGCATAAACTTCATTAGGTCATATCATGAAAGTTATGCTATGGATTACAGAATGTACGAGAATTATGTAAGCATAATTCACAAACTTATTATTTATAGATATATGGAAGTTTGTCTTGTATCATACATTATGTCATGATTATAAGTTATGGAGATCTCATGCATATTTATGTAACACGTTCATCACGATATTTCTCCACTATGATGAGTACGAACCTCATGAATTTATATTTATTTTGTAGCCCTTATGTAAGATTAGGGCGTTGTTTTATTCTTCTCTTTATTTTGTTTAAATTTCCATTGTTTTGCTTTAAAGATTTTATTTTCGAACATTTAAGTGCATGACATCCTTTATGAAGTATTTGGCACTTTACAGTCACTTTATATTACTAGAAAGTCAAGGTTGTCAGACGTAATACTAATGGTTCCATCTATATTTTAACGGTAAAAAGTTCTAATTAAGTACATTTTTTAACCTTTTCGAAAGTTTAATAGGTTTTTTTTTTAATCCTATTTTTGAAATAAAACAAAAAAGTTTAAATATATTATTGAAAGTTTTACAAATTTAATAATATTTTAAAAAAAATTACAAATTTATGAATATTTTTATTAATTTATGAGCTTAAAACAAAATTTAAAATTTAAATATTGATGAAAGCAAAAAAAAATAATTAATGCATGCACGTGAAAATTATTTCATTTATTGCTCATTTGAAGCCATTGGCTGGTTGGCCCCATAATTTCATTCGTCATTATGACCGCCACCAAAAATAAATAAATCAGCTTCCTGATTTTTTTACATTTTTTTAAAATAAAAAAAAGCCTTCCATATTTATTTATTTATTTATTTATTATTATTATTAATTATAGTTATTCATCCTGACAGTATTTTTTAGTCGTTCTATCTTCATAATCATTTTCGTTTAGATATAATATCGATTCATTTAAGTACCATTTTTTTACTCGAATGGTCATAATAACATTTTTTAATTTTAAAAAATGTTAGAATATAAGTGAAATTTTTCGATAAAAATTAAATTGAGAAGAAATTATAAAATTAATTCAAATATGTTAGAACATATTTAAACATAAAAAAAGTAGGAACTAAAATAAATGATTTCTATGGACCAAAAAAGTATTGTTTATAATCTCTACAATCTTATTTTTGTTTTCAAATCTGACACAAAAATTTATAAGAAGAAACTCTCCTATGTCTACGAGCGGTATTCAATTAGTATAACTAACGTGTTTAGAAGAGTATCTATTACATTCTTACACCGTAAAGTCTTAGGTACAAAGTTCTTCCCAATTGTCTCTCGACAACTATAAAATGATGTTTTCTCTTTCTTTCTATATCTATCTTGATATAGGCATAGCAATATTAATAGTCGTACATAAATCAAGATGGTTCATATACTTGTATAGGAGATGAACCAAATTTTTTTTAATAGATTCATGAATTGAAGCGAGGAGTTAACCAAAATATTTATAGATCCAAGTACTTATGAATCAAATTTTCATGACAATTCTCAACGAAATCTATCTCGATTAATTTTTTAAAAGAATTCCAAAATCGGGAAATTTCTCTGTTGACTAAAGAATTCATTCCCAATTCCCAACTTCATTTTTGCACCATTGTTTTAATATACATGTTTGAACGGTTCGAGTCTTTTTAGTAATATTTTTTTGGTTAATAACTTACAATTTTACATGTTTGAATTATAAACCAATTATGAAATTTAGGTCGAGGTGGGTTGAGGTTAGAAAATTTTTTAATGAACTCAAAAGTTTAGTTGGTTGGATTGATAACCCAACTCATTAATAATAATTCTCAAACCATTTTAATTTTCTATTTTTTGGAGGCTTTAAAATTTCAATACTCTTTCGATCACTTCTTACTTTTAGAATTAAGTTCACATTATACAAAAAGGACAGATAATATTCACTAATGTTGGACGTTAAAAAAAACCGAATTTAGGTCAAAACGAATGAGCAATATCTATTAGTAACAGCCGAATAATATTTATAAACAGTGGGTTCAGATTGTCAGATCCATCAAAGTTATGGAGGGAGTCAGAGGAGAAAGTTATGGGGTTGGGGAAGGTTAGGTTAACCTAATAAACGAGGGAGAATGGCCAGAGAACTAACTCACCCATTAATGCTTTCCTCTTTTTTATTTTATTTTTAATATTTAAATTTTTAATATATAAAAAGAGAGAAAAATGATAAATTTAAAAAATTTTAGAGACAGGAATAAAAGAACAAAGTAGCTACCATGTACATAACATGACGTAACTTGTTGTGAAACAATGTCATAGACTTACATGTTTAATAAAGGACTTACTAAAGAAATGTAGGTAGACATTTTCGTCCCATTTAAAAAAATGAAAATTAAATAGCATTACCAATAACATATATAAAAATCTCAACAAATGATTTTTAAAAAATAATAATAACAATAAAATTTTTTTTTTTTTTTTTTTTTTTTAATAGTTTGTTGAGAGTCAAAGTGACTTGAATGAAGCTGCATCTTCCTTCTGAATCCACCCAAACCTTTCCATGAAAGGGTTAGCNAAAGTCACAGGCGGATAGGCATTAATGCAATCTTCCCATACATTACCCTTCCGACCACCCAACTCTGTCACCACTTCCCACAAGCAACTATTGCATTTAAACCCTGCCCCAAAGCTTATCATCAACACCCTATCTCCCTTCTTCAGCCTCTTCTTCGCCTCCATGTACCCCAAAACGTACCATAGGCTACTTGCCGATGTGTTCCCGAATCGGTGAAGGGTCATTCTCGCTGGCTCGAGGTCTTGCTCCGTTAGGCTTAGGCTCTTTCCTACCCCATCTATCACTGCTTTTCCTCCCGTGTGTAGGCAGAAATGCTCCGCCCCGCTTCGGAAGTTCGCCGTTGGCTTTGCCCACCGCGGCTTCGAGGAGCTGGCCGAGGAGAGTTTGTGTATTATTGTTAGGATTGTTAGTCGGAATATCTCCGTTATTGGGAGGATTTTGGGAGAGATTTCTCTTAGATTGTCAGTGAATGCTCTAGTAGCTGCCCTTGGGAGGCTCTTCCCCAAATGAAAACCTTAAAAGAAATGGAAATAGTTAGTAAAAGAAAAAAAAAAACTAGAATAATTTGCCGAATCAAATAAATTAGAAAGTAAATGAGAAGAGCCTAAGATATTGTCTGTAATAAAAAAATCAAATATGATACTTATGGTAAACCATGATCATGATAAAACACTAAATATCTTCAATCATACTAGATATTTACCAGTAATAAATGGTCAAATATGATGGAAAGCTAAATATCATCCCTCATACAAGATATTTGTCTGTAATAAATGATCAAATATAATATTTATGATAAACTGTGATCGAAAGCTAAATATCATCAATCGTACAAAGATATTTACGTATAATGAAAAGTCAAATATGATACATAAAGTAAACCATGTTTAACATTAAAAATCGTCAAATACCCTACAAAAATTATTGAGTAAGACGGTTACAATTTAATTCTCAATATAGATTCAAAAAGGTGCATGGGCTAATAATCATAAGATCTGCTAGTCACGTTGTGGGTCACCTCAATATCAATAATTATAAAGTAATAAATAAGATGGGTTAATTTAATTTTAAAAAACATTATCAAGGAGATGCCCATATGCATTATTTGTTTACCTAGGTTGCCTTGGTCATCTTCTTTTTGATAGCAACAATCGTAGGACTCGTCGAGAGCTCCATGGTGAGTTCGGACAAGACACTTGAGCTTAAACATGGATTTGTGTCTCAAATCCCTTTTGTTGGTCAAAAGTATGGCGGCGCCACCGGATCGGAACAGACAGTTGGACAGTATCATGGATCGGTCGTTACCGGAGTACCAGTTTGGAGTGAGGGACTCGGAGGTGACAACAATGGCGTATGAGTTCTTGTATGACTTGAACATTCTCCTTACAACGTCCACAGATATTAAGCTCGCACTACATCCCATTCCGCTTAGATTGAACACTTTTATATCTTCTCTCATTTTGTACCTGTAAAAAATGATCAGAAATCAGAAACAAACCGGAGGAGAGAAAAAAAATATATATATATATATATTGTTCAATCACTGAGAATTGGTATTAAAGCACAAAACTTCCATAATTTGTCAATTACTTACGGGTTATGAATATTAAATCGAAAAGCTTGAGTTGATAGTTAATGGTAAATTTACGGATTGACGATTCGGGAAGCGAGGGAGGAAGTATATATAGTGAAGAAAGTACTAACTAGCTTCCTAAACTGTCTTCTCGAGTTAAGAATCACTGATAGATCGAAAAGTTTACGATAAATTTACCGATTGACGATACGGGAAGCGAGGGACGGGGAAGTGGAGAGCATGGAGACGTTGACGACAAGGAGATCGATTTGAGAAGGGGAAACACCGGATTTTTGGAAGAGCTTAAGGAGAGAGTCATGGAAAAATTCTTCAACTTCGGAGATGCTATCAAGGAGAGAAGGACGTTGTTCTTTGCCGGAGAAGACGACTCGAGGGCCGTAGGTTTGCTCGCCAATGCCGGAGTTGACGACGGCTTTGAGGAGGAATTTGAGCTCTTCAAGGCCGAGATTTTTGGTGCGTCTCATAAGGTCACGGCAAAGCTCAGTGCCAAGCATTCTATCGTCGGTGGGTTTGAAGCATTGGTAGTCCAAAATGTAGCATTGTTGGTCCCTTTTTGCATCGAAATGGTTCCATATTTTTAGTGCCAAAAACAGTAATGGAATTGCGTAGAGTAACAACAATGGCTCCATGATGAGAGAGAGAAAGATAATGAGAGAGAGATTTTGGGAACTGAAAATGGAGCAATGGGTTTGGAAGAAAAGAGGAGCACTTATAGCAAGGGGGGAGCAGCTGGCTGGCTTAACGCGTATATGAATGCAAATTGCTAAGTTTGAAAGGATACTATCTACCCTTAAATGCTTGAAAATATAGACGTGTGCTGTTTTTAACTCTATTTCTTGTATTAAAGTAAATCATCGATGAATTTAAAATTTATCTTGTGAGGCACTGAGATAGACTATATTTATAGGAGCGAACGAATGTGAGTTATACCTTGAAATGAAATATAATTTTGAATTAACTGTCTAGTAATAAGAAAGTTGTAAGTAATGCAACTGTGAATCTCGTGGAGAGATAGATCCTAGCTTACGATGAACGTTAGTGGCATGCTTGACACATGCAAGTCGAGCGAGAAGTGGGAAACGAGCATGTGAGATCGCACATCAATTTGAGAGAGAAATGAAGTGTTTCTTATAAAGGTGTGGAAATTTTTTCCTAACATGCGCCTTTTAAAATCTTGAAGCTGATAACGATATGTAACGAGTCAAAGTAAGCAATATCTACTAGCGATGGGTCTGGGCTATTAGAGAGCGAGTAACAAGTAAGTAGCTACCCTCGAAGGAAAAATAGTTGGAAACTATTGTGTACTCCCCATGTTGAGGAGAAAAAGAGGAATAAATCCAAGGAGGGTGTGAATGTTTGATTAATCCACCACACCTAAATGGTGTGAAAGTTATCTTATTTATAATCAAATGAATTACAAGGATATGGAAATAGTAATAAATGGAAATAACAATAAATGGAAAGATACATATGATAATAAAGCAAATATTAGATATATGGTAAACTATAATTTATTACTAAATATCCTTAACACCCCACCGCAAGCTAAGCGTCGGATTTAAACGAACGTGAAGCTTGAATCTGAAAAATTCAAAGAGGTTGAGAAACACTTTTCTTGAAGAAGTCAACAACCTGGTTCAGAGGAGGCGTAGAGAAACACTTTCTTGGCCATCGAAAATTGCAGAGGAATCGCCGCTCAGCGGCAATGCTGCCTTGGCTTCGGCGAGAATATGTCTAACCCATGAAGAGGGATTGTCGCTTAGCGACGATGCTGCCTTGGCTCTGGTGAGAATATTTCTAACCCCAAGAAGTAGAAGGGGAAACCTAGAGCAAGGGACAAAGACAATGTTGAAGCCGGAAGAGTCGCCACATTGGGCGAAGGAGCCAATTTTGGCGAGAAGGGCAGTCGGAAGAGTCGCCTCATCGGGCGAAGAAGCCAATTTTGGCAGGAAGGGCGGCGGCAACTTGGTTGGCGAATAGGCCAGTGCAGCACCCAGATTCCGAAGGTAAATCTCTACAAAAGGTTGATAGGTTTAGGTTAGGGTTTATGTGAAGGATGAAGGTTGATTGGGAAGAAAATGAGAGAGACTATATTGGCCAAGGGGAAAACCGATTGGGTTGGAAAAGGTGAGGTTGTATGTACAGAGTATGACGAAAGGTGATTTGGAGGTCAATAGGGTAGAGCTGAAGAGTAATCAATCGGCTCCGACTACGGCAGCCATGAAGACTGCCCCTGCGGTGTCAAAACCAGCAGGGGTGGTGGAGAAGAAGATTAGAGGATTCAAAAGCCATTGAAAAGAAAGGATCGGGGTTGTTAAACCGAGAGGGCTCTGATACCATGTGAATGTTTGAGTAATCCACCACACCTAAATGGTGTGAAAGTTATCTTATTTATAATCAAATGAATTACAAGGATATGGAAATAGTAATAAATGGAAATAACAATAAATGGAAAGATACATATGATAATAAAGCAAATATTAGATATATGGTAAACTATAATTTATTACTAAATATCCTTAACAGAGGGGTTTGGGTATGATTAGCTAGTTGGTGAGGTAATAGTTTATCAAGGCAATGATTTGTAACCGGTCCAAGAGAATGATCAGGATGAGATAGCAAAGTTAGTTGAGATATAAGTAATGTGACCATGTCGTAAGGGATACAGGGGAATGTTAAGGCCATAAAGTGTTGAATCCGAATTTGAAATTCTTATCTGAATTTTAGGTTAGGTCGTCACAAATGGTATTAGAGCGATATCTCTTTTAGTAAGATGTCGTTCGGGAACGAATTAAGGCAAAAGTAGTTGAGTATGTGACACTTAAGTAGATAAGGGATACATAAATGAACTGAGACCACATCTGAATAGAGCGATCCTAAGTATATAGGATGACTAAAAAATGCTCAAAAGAATCGAAACTCACTATCTATACCAATAAGGTGTATATTTTTTTTTCCAGTAGTTACAACTCCATAATTTGGAAATTTTCTTGCGATGTATATGAGTGGGGACAAAGCATACGGGAAGGACTCGAATTAGTTTGTGAGGATAGTCTTTCACTCTCAGCAACGAGGAGTAAGTAAAGTGATCATATCACAAAAGAGTGGGGGATAATCAATTTCAAGAATATTTAATGAAACTTTTAAAACAAAATTCAAGATATTTTTTATAATTTATGTGATACCCGAGTAAATATGAGGGGTACATGAATAAATCATGAGCACATCCGGATCAAAGCGATCCTTGGAGATACGATGACTAAGAAAGTCTTAAAAAATCGAAAGTTATGACCTATACTAACAAAATACACATTTTTAAGTGGTTGGATTGAATTCTCGAGATAAATGTGTTTTGCTTCACCAAATTCTGAATCTTAATTCAAAGTTTGAACATGGAACTCAATTAGTTTAGATATATATTATCGACCAAAAGATCATAAATTCGAATATTTCATAGCCGAGTATTGAATTCAAACGGGCAAATGAACGAGCAGGTGCAACATTAAAGATGACTTGCCTTCCATGGAGGTACATCAAAAATTCAAGAGATTGGATTTTTTTTTAATAAAAAAAAAATAAAAAAGGTTATTTTCAATTAATTTAGATGATACTATAAAGAATTTTGCAGTTCAAATATTTTCTACATAAAATTGGTTTTAAAAAATTAATAAAATATATAAATATTAAATTATTTGTCTAAAAAAATATCTTTAATTTTTTTATAAAAAAAAAAAAAAAAATTGATAAAAAACGGTTTAAAAAATATCCTTCAATTTTTTAATTCCATTAATACCCTCCCTCTATTTTTAACTTCAAAAATATCCTTAAATTTTTTTAAAAAAATTATAAAATATTCGTACTCCGGGATGAAATCGTTATAAAATTTAGCATTAATATCATTAAATTCATTTTTTTTTTATTTTCCATTTTTTCTCTAATTTTTTTGAATATCTTCTTAATTTTATTATTTTTTATCCCAATCTCTAAAATTATTCTTATTTTTTGTTCTTAAATATGAGAACTTTTAATAGAATGGATGAAAAAAACTAAGAAATTTATTATTAATTTTTTTTTTTATATTTAAGAATGAGAAAAAAAAAAAAAGGATTAAATCTAAGTAGATGAGATAGAAATAAATTTGTAAAATGACAGAACAATTATGAATAAATATTATTGAAGAGAAAATGACAATACTAATATATATTTTTGTTTTCTTCCTTTAAAAGGAAAAACAATAGTGAAAAGACGATAAGGGCCCTGTTAACTTACCAAGAATAGAAATACCTTATAGTTAAAATGAAAATGCTATCCATTTGTTGTTTACTAAGATCATATTGGTCGGAAACCGATATCGAAAGCTTATTGATGTTATTTATTAGCGACAGTCGAGAGTCGAAATAGGAATTCGATATATTATAACTCATTAAAATGTATTATCAAATAATAAGTCAATGTAATTTTTAATTAAAAAATAATATTCAATCACGAATGAAAAATGATTCTTGTGAAACAAACAAACCCTTATCTCGTTGATTTAAATCTCTAATCCCGAACAATTATTATGGAGTTACGTTCATTTTGAATATCAATTAATTTCATATTTGTATTGTAAAATAAAATTAAAAAATTTATTTTCAAAATATTATGAGCTAAAATTATAATTTTCTCCACAAAAATTACCAACTAACGCCGTATGTCATAAATATGTAATAAATGAAAAATTATTGCAAAAGTCAATGCTCAACTACCAATGGTACAAAAGTCTAATTTACACAAGTCAATGATGCATCCCACAAATCAAAAGTCCAATTCATCGGCAGTTTTGACCTTTGACCATTCTCGACCTCCAAAATATTATATATATATATATATATATATATATATATATATATATATATATATATATATATATAGGTGTACGACATCGAATTGGATTAGATTGGAAAAATCTTTTACATTCGAAATTTCAGATTAGCTGAGTTGGTGACTCAAACACTCCGAATAGAGTTTACAATTCAACCCTCTATTCTTAAGTTGAGTGTTGTCGGTTTTTTGAAGAAATTTTACTCATGCACAGCACACATTACATTAATAACTAAAATCTCATAAAGTTGAAGTATCAAACATTTATAGGTTATATGTATCACTAATATTCGTTACTAACGTTAAATATTCTTATTCTTCTTAAAAGTAGCGTAGGATTAGATTGTAACTGTATTTTCAGGTTAGTCGGGTTGTCTTGACCAAAAAAATATCAACCCATAAATTGAACTAATTTTTTTGTTTTTAAAAAATTAATCTAATTTTACCGTTTGGATTAGGTAGTCTAAGTTAGTCGAATCTTCGGAACTATATGAATACACCATAGAAGTTTTCTTTATCATATATTTTAATAAAAATAGAATTCACGTACATATTTTTAATTAAGCAAATAGAATTGAAATAAATTCTAGTGGTGCAGTACGAAGAAAGATATCGTGGAGTTTGTAACTAAGTACTTAGTATGTTACAGGTGAAGGCGCCGAGACAAAGGACAACATGGTTGTTGCAGCCCTTGAGCGTACTAGAATGGAAGTGGGAGAATATAGCCATTGATTTAATCATAGGCCTCCTCAAGACGTTAAAAGATTATATAATGATATGGGTGATCTTCGACAGATTGACCAAGGAGACATATTTCCTATTTGGTAAGATTACATATACGGTGGATAATTGGGTATATTTGTACAAGAGAGAGATTGTTAGATTGCACAAAGTTCTAGTGTCCATTGTGTCAGACCGAGACCCACGTTTTACGTCAATCTTCTGGCACGACCTCCAAATAGTGTTGAGTACTGCTTCAACTTCAATACTATCTTCTACCTATGGTTAGACTGAACCTTTAAACCAAATTTGGAAAAACATGCTACATGTCTACGTGTTAGATTTTACAAATAGTTGGGGTTCTTAGTTGCGTCTCATGGAGTTCGCCTGCAACAAAAACTTCAGGCAACTATTGGTATGTCGTCCTTTGAAGTCTTATATAGAAAATGGTGTAGGTTCCCGACGTGCTTGGACAAGGTAGGTGATCGAAAACTGTTGGGACCAGAGTTAGTTCGAGCAACCAATGAGGTTGTGTAAAAGATCAGAACGAGGATGCGCACAACTCAAAGTAGACAAAAGAGTTGCGTTGACACGAGGTGTAAGAACTTGAAATTTGAGGTAGGCGACAATGTATTCTTGAAGGTGGCTTCAATGAAAGGCATCTTGAGGTTCAGACGGAAAGACAAGTTGGATCCACGCTTTATCGAACCTTTCGACCTCCTATACTAGATTGGACCAGTAATATACAAATTAGCCCTACCATCGTCTCTCTTTGCGTGTATAATGTATTCCACGTATCTATGCTTCGTAAGTATTTGACCCATTCGACCCACATGATATTATTTAATTTTTAGTCGCTCAATATAAAATAACTTTTGATACACCAAAATAGTATGGAATTTACTCAGACGTCTAGACAACTATTATTGAATGTTCACACAAAAAAATTCAATTGCCACTTTAAAAGTTGCTCATAAAAAATTTAATGATTAAAAAAATTCGATTTTATACGGTTATGAACTTATTTAAGTAGGATTAAATTCAAA